AAGAAATCGGGAAAAAAATCCCCAGAAATCCCACAATGTGACGATTTTATCGCGATATAATCTCACAATTAATCTGCATGATAAATCGTCGATTTTCGCGCGGTTTTTATCATATGGGCGGAATCCCGGCATTTTTCGTGGGATTGCCGGGATCCCGTGGGATCCCGATATTTTTTGAGCGGGATCTCGCACAGGATCCCGGACGGGATCTCGCGGGATCCCGACGGGAAATTGCCGGGATGAAAGACATCGGATACAACTCAGCCAATCACATTTAATGAGTACGGTAGAAATAATTGCCGATTTTTTGATAGGCTTTTTTCTCAAGTTGGATTTGACCAAAATTTTTCGTTTTAGTATTACATTATAGAGAATTTTGCATAGATTTTATTGACCTGCTATTTTTTAAAAAATTGTCATACGAAATACCACAAAATATAGTACGTTCAGTGTTTTATTGAAGTAAAAAAAAGATCATTTTTCTTTGCTAAAGAAATTTGTTTGCGTTACACAAATGCAGCATAATCAAGTACAGAAATAGATTTCTCCTTTAGATAAAAAAAAACAAATTTTCAGATAAAGTTTTAATATTTTAAAATCGATCTGCAACTTATGCGCTTTTTCATATAAAGGTGAACATATGTCATCTTCGTCATTCGAATAAAAAAAACGAAAATAGCTATTATCAATACGGACTTTTTTTAGAGCTTGAAATTTTGTATCCGTTGACATAAAACAAATAATTTTCGCAAATCTAAGTTAGGAGAAAATTGCAAAAGAAAATTATGATTCAGTCGACCCACGACATCTTCCTGACATTTTTGTATTTTTTGAAGGAGAGGTAATTCAACTTATCAAAACCAATACATGATTAGATACATCGAAAAATTCTACATCTCTTACTACGAAGAAGAATTCTTCGAGGTAAATCTAACTAAAGAAAAATTCATTTTTAAAAGCTTCTGATTATTCAGTTGAGGAATGTTATTTTTTGTGGTATTCAGTGCTTCAAATGCTACAAATGTTTCGTATAGCCACTTTTTAAAAAGAGTACATTTATAAAATCTACGCAAAATTCTCTATCATTTAACACTAGAACGAAAAATTGTGATCAAATCTAACTTAAGAAAAAAGCCGGCAATTATTTCTGTCATGCCTGTCAATTGCTTCAAGTTTAATAAAAATTCACAAAGTGAAGAAAATATGCCATATTAAGTCAGTAAATTATTTATGTAATTTTAATTCCTTGTTGGAAAATCCTAGGCATGACTGAGTTTCATTCTGGTAGTCTTCTAGACGAGGTTCGATTTCCAATTGTTTCACGTTCAGCTATACGACCTGAGACCGTCTCTAGCTGGATTTCTTCATTACAGCAGCAACTAGTGTTTTGCTGATTCCGAGTACGATTCAAAGAAGTTGATGCAAACTCGATTCTACAGTCATACGTTTCAATTGAAGAGCCATTGTTCAATTCTGATCTATTTGATTCTAGTATTTCCTCTGAACATTCATCGAGACTAATGTCGATTCTTCTACCATCTTCTGTTTTTCTGATTGACGTTATTGTAAATGGAACATAGCGTAAGATTAAAACCTCTTTTTCATCAGGATATAGAGATATTAATTCAATATCTAGTGCTGAACGACGTTGAATATTTTTAATATTATATGTACAAAGCATTGCTATGCCATCTGTAGAACCATTTAAACAAAATCTAAATGCCACATATGGGTCCTTACTGGCTGATAGAAATGTTGTTGTTAATATCGTAGCACCTACTTTATAATCTTCTATGAGTTTCTTATCGTCAAGAACCGCACCACGATAAACTTTTTTCTTCCGAACAAGATAATCATCTAACTTTGGATGATATAAAATATTGGTAAATGCTTCCGTATACTCTTGAGTTCGATCCAAAACTGGACAGTTTAACATCGTACAGTAACGAGTTAGAAAATGATTTGAATTGGCTGCAGAATGTTTATTCAGGCACACTGTGAAAGCTTGTTGGGAACTGTAAGCTTTAATAACCAGTTCTGGATCATCGTTTTCACGAGCTTCTCTGAATAGTTTCCGCATGGAATTCCAAGTATCATCAATAGGTTGAAACTCTAAGAATGTTTCCTCTATGATCTTTATGTAATCAAATATACTAGAAGACAAATTCAATTTTTTCAAACCATTAATAAACTTTTCAGCTATCTCTAGAGGCTTTTTGTTTTCTTCAACTACAAGATGCCATTCCGGCCATTCGATCTTTCTCTTCTCACTCAGTATATCATGAAGATCACAATCATCCGCACCATAGATCTTCCTTAGTAAACTTTCCTTAAGTGTTACTTTTGATGTTGTAGATGTTTCAGATGACAGTAATGTTAGTAATAAATTTGATGAGTGTCTAGTAATAACCAATAGTAATGTTAGTAACCAATTCCTAATTGTCTGTAACCGGTACCACAGAGTCATTTGATTCCTTTTTTGAAATTCCACAAACTAGCAGTGGCTTATTAGTTCTTAAGAAATTGAATCTTTCAGACTGATGAGTATAACTTGAATTTCGTACACTTTATTTTGTTTAGAACACTTCTAAAATACAAAGTATAGCATAGAATTTATATTTAGAAGCCTTGCTACATTAAACTTCTGAGCAAAATGTTTGAGTTTGACTAGTCTTTTTCGAAGATTGGATGAATCAATTATTCAATCTTACTCATTTTAGTGACACTTTGTATCAATTAATTTTTTTCTCGATTTCTAAAAGTTGATTGGTCGAAAATGATAATGACAAAATTACAGTACAAACTATAAAGAAAATAAATTGCATGTTACAAAGAAGATTAGAGATGATTAACACTTAGGTTGGTTGATTAAATTAAAATTAAATTCGTTCAGAGAGATCCTTTTTATTCATCTGATAAGAAACACTATCTATCTGATATGAACAACTGTCTACTTTGTTTGTCTAATGACTTTTTCTCATAAGGAAAAAAATAAAAAATATGAAGAAGGACTGAACTATTTAACTGTGACTATTAGAAACAAGACGATTAAAAAGAATATTTTTAAATAACGGTTCTGTCGAAATGTGAAATATGTTGTGAGATGCTCTGTGAAATTTTTATAAGGCATCATAGTACACAATTTTAGAAAAAAGTTTTGAAAGAACAGCTTGTCTAGCAAAAATTACAAATCAACGCAAAAGACTCTTTTCTGATAGATCTATGGCATTATTTGCTTTTGGTTTGGAACAATCTAAAGATCTTATTTGTTTCACAATTTTTGCTTAGAATTAAATTTCTACATCTAATGGTATAATGTTAAAGTATTTAGGAAGTACGACTCATGTTGGAATAGACTAGTTTCGAAAGCGCATTCAAAACAAAGTCCTGTCGGATGTTAGTTCCAAGCATTTTCCATCTGAACAACGTAATCGAGAGTCTTGAAAAGATCTTGAAAGCATAATGTGGAAAATTCTCTATCTATAGATACTGAATACTTTTCATTTAACACGGAACTTAATCAACACAAACTTATACAAATCGATAGATATGGGAAGAAAATAATAAAATATCGTCGTTAAGTAGTTCAGTTGCTGCTAATATTTTCAATTTTTTTCCTCATAAGAAAAATTTATTGAATAAACAAACTACTGAGAGTCGTCGAGTGAAAAAATCTCTATCGAATGAGTCTAAAACGAAGTGTTTAATGCCTTAAATAGCGTTCTAAAAAAGAAGGAAACATGTTGTCTCGTTTATTATGAGTCATCCATTATATGTCTCATTCATTCTTTGTTCGTTGAAAATATTTATGATTCTCTGTACAAATAAAAATTGTAACTGATATTTGAATTTCAAAAACTAATCACATACTTTAACGATGTATTCAACTTCCAATTCAATACTACCTATAACTATAAATCGTCTTATATGCACTATGAAGAGTCGACGACATCAAAATAATATGTTGTAGATCGTCACAAACGAAAAAGAAATTGCCAAGACATGACTCATGAAAATAGATTTTTATTTTTCTTCCAGATCGGTAGAAAACTAACGAATAGAAGAATAAAAAGAAAATATAATTTATACTTCACTTAATAGTAATAATATGCATGACCAAATGTTCTTTTCGAGCGTCATGAATTTGATTATTCATCTATGAAAGCTCGACAAACACGGTATTTTCTCTAGACAACACGACATGATCAAAATTTTCAAATGCTGATACAAAATAGCTTCGAATCCCACATAAAAACAAAATCACGAAAAAAAATCAGATTTTCTTATTAAAAATCGATTAAAATGAGACAATTTAAATCAAATTTTAATTAGATTTAGAAGTATATTAACTGATCGTGCAAAGAGTTAATAAAATCAGTATATATAACAAACATTTTTTATGCTATTTATGCTCTTCCATGAGTCATTTCTTATTTTCACATTTAACTATATAGGAAAATTATTGTCGAATGTGTTTATGTTGGAAGTTTCTTACTTACATGCGCAAGTGTGGGTCTGGGTGGATGTGGGTGTGGGTGGGTGTGGGTGTGGGTGTGGGTGGGGGTGGGGGTGTGGGTGTGAGGGTGGGTGGGGAGTGTGGGGGGGTGGGAGGGGTGGGGGCTCGCGGGTGTG